CCTGCCACCGCATCCCGCGGGAGACCGGGCTCGTGGGTACCACCGAGGCAGGGCTGGGGATCGGTGTCCCAGCAAGGCTTCTGCTTTCACCCCGCTTTACGACATGCTGCTGCGGTGTCTTGTTGTAGAAAATATCTAGAGGCACGTTGGTCTCCAGGGACCCCAAATACCTGAAGAACAAACCTCCCTGGATGAATGCTGGTGGCTGCTCCTGAGCTGGGGCAACATGCACCCGCGAAGTCTCCATCTCGTGACGCTTGTTCGCTGCTGCTGGGTCACTTTCCCTGAATAATTCCTATTATGTCAGGATGTTCTTGGGAGAAGGAAGGAAAAAGTCAAATTTTGGTTCCCTGATCAGGCTCCTAAATAAAAATGCCTTGAATTTTGGAGATGCACAAACCGACGGCCAGGATTTACTCTCTCTGAACAAGCCCATCCCTTCTCTTAGCCTTTTGTCCTCTACCATTCAGTTTCATTTCTGTAGAGCTAGCTTTGATATTTCCTTAATATGAGCTATCACCCCAAAAAAAGGTAGTAAACTGATTCTCTCATAAGCGGGGCAAAATAAAGCTGAAGACATCATCCTCTTGTCAGGCTGGTGGCAAGCACTGGCTCAGCTGTCCCGCAAAGGGGGGTTTGTGCCCCCCATGCTCCTGCCACGCCTCCTGTCCTAGTGCCACCCCCAGCCGCTCCGTGGGGCACCAGGCATGGCTGATCTTACCCTGGAAGGAATTTCTGCACCTGGACAAGCACCCTCTGCTCCGTATCCTCTCAAGCATCTGTTAAAATTTCCTTTGGATCGCAAAAAGTCGCCCTCCGCAGCGAGGCGGCAGCCGCTGGGGACCACACGAACCCCGACGACAGCACCCTCGTGCTCTCCGAAACTCTCCCAGGGGCTCAGGAAACGCCCCGTGCTCCCAGCAAGCCCAACGCCCTTCCTCTTCTTCTCTCGGACGAAGCTTTGCCCCTCTCGCCGGGACCCCTCTTTCCGCGGTGGGGACCGAC